CAAAAGCTTTTCAAATCACACAAACACAAAGAAAACAATTTTGAAAATGATGAGCAAGTACCTAAGAGCCCGTAGATAACTACGGATAGAAAGGGTGATAATACCTTCCCTTTCTATAATCTACCCCCCTGTACTTAGAAATATCTCGAAAAAGGAATTTTTCTGTGCTTTTCTCCTTTCCTTGTTGGATAAAATAAAAGTCGGTGGCGACTCTTGCTTACCGCGACATTTTGCGAACAAAAAGCGAAATGCAAACCAATATTAAACAATCAGTTCTGGCCACCGTATCACAATGAGACAAAATCAAGAAATGCTAAGCCCATTTGCAGTGAGCCTAGTTTTTCATGATTCAGTGTGAGAGACCCTTAGGACGTGTATCATGGAGGTGACTTCCAGGGCGCTGGATCTGGATTGATGTTGATTTGATGGTTGAGAAGAGGGGCGTACCATGTAAGCGCTAGGCTTGCTTGCACAAAATATGTAAATAAAATATGAAAAAAAAATACAAAAGGGGGGTTCACATTGGTTCGAACCCTCGCCCTTTAGGTTAACAAAGACTTTGTACGTGCGCGCTTACCACGGGGGTGGTTGTTTCATCCGATTATGAAAGAACTACCACTAAATATATTGTAAACTATGTTCTGGAAATTTGAAAATGCCCAGCTTCGTCTTCCTCGCGCACGCAGAATGACAATAACACCATTGTTAAACTTGTTTTCTCTGTAAATCCTTTATTTCTCAACCAAAATAAAAAATGTAAAAACCAAAATTTCTTGATTTTTAACAATGAATGCAATTATATAATTCATTTAAGCTATAAATCAAAGATTAATGAGAATTTTGTTTTATACCAAAATAGTGCCCTAACTGGTCAGAAGCAAAATTCTTCACACACAAGCAAATAAAATGCAACCTAAGAATATGGTTAGCTTTAGGGCAATGATGTCTACATTTTTGCTTCAGAATGTATGTACAAAAGATGCTTATATCAAGATATTGAAGTTAGTAAACTTACCTTGCAAGTGAGATTCACGTATGAAGTTTGAGCAATCTTTGAGGTGTCCTAATGATCTGTTTAGCTTGCTTGGACCTCCTTGAGTGTATTCTAACTCCTACTTTGCTTTGAGGATGACTGAAACTCCCTACTCAATTCAAGTTACAAGCTTGAGTTTTGAAAATGGTGGATGATGATTGAGTCATTACAGTCAGGAAACAAGGACTTGGATCACTTGTATATGAGGCATGTAAAGTGTTTTGATGGTTAAAAATGAAAACGCACGAGTGAAAATAGAGATGAGTGTTTAAAGTTCAAGAAGATGTGCTTTTGGACAATTCTGTGTTGGAGGGTGCTTGAGAAGGTTGGAGGGTTCTTGAACCTGTCCTTTCTTGAAAATAACTCGTTTATCTATATGGAAAAGGTTAGAGATGTTTTGCACAAGGGATTTCTGAGTTGTAGGGATTGGGCTAGGTGGCTTGCTTTCGAAGAAAAGTGGAAAATAAGTTTCAATGTGTTGTACAAGTACGGTCTGAAGTTGCTGGAGGCCTTAGACCTGTTGCTTCTGATTTTGACTTTGCTTGTGTTCAGATGAAACAAGTTTTGGGAGCTCAAGAAGTTGACTTTGTGATTAAATTGATCTTTATGAAAATGGATATGGAGCTTTTTGCAATTTCATCCAAAAATGGTATAACCAAGTGGATAAAGCCTCAAATCTTTGTGTAATGCATCATAAATTTGTGTAAATATATGATTATATGGAGATTTAGAATCAATATGGCCTAAAAAGTGAGATTGGATGATAAGGTTATGAGATTCAGTCTTGAGTTCTTCATAAAAATGACTTGAAATTCAAGAATGAAATGCCAACTTCAAGTCTTCGAATCTCCTAGCTCAAAAATGATCTCTTCAAGTTCTTGGACATTTTGGAAAGCTTGAAGTATCCTCTACAACCTTTATGTTTACCATTTTAACAAAACCATCTTGAAGCTTGATGAAAATTGGCCAAGAAGTTAGGTCAAAAATCTCCCTAAACTAGGTCAAATTTTCACTAAGTGTTTTAGAAAAAGTGCATGACTTCATGAATTTATAACTCAAAATCCAAGCATTTCTAGGACTTTATCAGTAAAGAAAAGTTGTAGATATCATCAAGATCTATAACTTTTATGTTGAAAGTTTTCTTTGATCATCTTACATTTTGGTGAAAAATTGGCATGAAGGAATGAATTATCATGTATAAAACACTTAGAAAAATTTCTAAGTCTTGAAAAGTTTGACTTTTCACATTGACTTTTGAATTTCTTGATTTCTTGATGATCAAGATTCATATTTTTGGATTTCTTGATGAATTGTGATCTTTTAAATCAAATCTTGATCAAAAAGTCAAAGTTTGACTTTTTGTACATCAGTTGACTTTTCATCAGTTGATCAAATTTCAACTATCAATCCATTGATATTGAGGAATGTTTTGAACTATGAAATCAGGTCAACATGTTTTATTTAAATCCTTGATATTACGCTTCAAGACATTATATCATGTATTAGGTCAAAAGTTATTGATAAGTTAATTACAGTCAAAACCCTAATTTTGACCATTCAACCCTTTTGGTAAATTGAACAATTTTCTTGAGGAATTGTGATCCAAATTTGAACAATTGATGAATATGACTTTAAAATGTTGATGTGGATAAAAAATCTTGAAGTTTGACTGTAGTTTGTTCACAATTGACTTTTTACCTAATATAGCTGATTTTCAGTCATCTGATCAATTAACTGAGCAAAATTGTGATCCAAGACTTGAAACTTGGCATGAGTATTCTTGGGAGTGTGTAATGAACCATGAAAGTCAATTGAGGCATTAGAAATCCAATTTTCCTTGTGAAAGTCAAAACCCTAATTTGGCCTCAGTGTTAGAGGATGAGTTTGTCTGATTAAAACTTGGAGAATCCTTGAGCATTTGAGATCTTCTTGTGAGAAATGTCTTGAGAAAAGAGAGGGCAAATTTTTGGGTACAACAGCATGCGACGAACCTTCTTCTTTATCGGAGCACAACCCTATTTCACTGGCAGTCGGTGAATCACAATATCAGTATCAAGCCCTGACATGTCTTCATACGACCAAGCAAAGATCTCAACATAGTCATGCAACATCTGAATTAATTTGTTCTTGACACTGCCTTATAGATTATCCCTTATCTTGACTTCTTTTCTATCTGCTTCAGTATCCAAGTTTACAACTTCAACAGGCTATTCATGCGGTTGTATGGCATTTTCTTCTTGTACTAACAGTTTGACAATTTCTCCAGGTATTTCATAATCTTCCTCACCTTCGTCCTCAGCTTGGTATATCATATTTTCAAAGTCATAAGTGGCAATAGTAGAGTCATTATCAACGAGATACATAGTGGACGTGGATCTGTAATTTATTGCGTGGGTGTGTGTAAGAACACATAACTACTTGAAAATGGTAAAAGTAAAAAAGAAAGACATAGAGCACAAATTTTGAATGCAAAACGTCCAATGCTTTTATTAAATGAAAATATGATTATGAAATGACAACCCTTAACAAATGAACCGTTGTGCCCCAGGTAAGGCACAAGGTTTAAAGTCATTGTTTAAACATTACATAACCAAACTTTGAAAGTAACAAAAACAGAAATGTAGCTCTTACTTCTGACTAAAGGAGATAGAGATAATGTCTTATGCCTTCCAGTTGCTGAGCATGTTGCCAATGGTAGGAAAGATCCAGCTGTCAAGGTCATAATCACTGCTAGCATCTTCTATAGCGTTAAATTCGTTGTTGCTGATGCAGAATGATGGTCTTCCTGCACGAGCGCGACGAACAACCCTATGCAGTGAAACCCAAACCAAATTTGTCATATTTATATGGAATGCCAAGAAGCTGACCCCAAGTAGTACAACCACCTTCTTCTATAACAGCTTTAACATCTTTCAAGGAAGCCATTTTGGGCGGAACCTTGGGAATGGCATAAACATCTTCAGTCGAGGCAGGAGGGATGAATTCAAAAGTCTGACAGGGAGTCTCGATGAATTCACCATCCATCTCTACATATCGGAAAGAGTTCACATGGCTAACCATATACTCTTCTTCACCATAGAAAATAATGATCTTTCCGTTCATAAGATATTTTAACTTCTAATGTAGGGTTAAGGTGACAGCGCCTGCCACATGGATCCAGGGGCGTCCCAATAAGCAAGAATAAGCTAGCCGAATATCCATTACATAAAAGGTAGATTCGAAGACCTTCGAACCCACTTTGATCAGAAGATCCACTTCTCCGTGTACCATCCTCTTTGACCTGTCAAAGGCTCGAACTATAATATAATTAGGTTTCAGCATAACCCTTCTGTAATCAAGTCTATCCAGAGTGCCTTTCGGTAGAACATTCAGTGAAGAACATGTATCAACCAATACAAGGGCCAAGGTAGTGCCTCTGCATTCAATGGAGACATACATGACCTTATTGTGATTTATTGCTTCCGGAGTCAGATCAACATCAGAGAAACCTAATCTATTGTCAGTCGTTAAACTGGAAACATAACTTCTAAATTGATCAGCATAAATCTCTTTTGGCACGTGAGCATTCTTCAAGAATTTTACTAAAGCATGTGCATGGGCTTCAGAATACAGTAACAGGGATAACATGGAGATCTTAGATGGGGTCTGCCCTAGCTGTTCAATAATAATAATAATAATAATAATAATAATAATAATAATAATAATAATAATAATAATAATATATTTTATTTAATTTTAGAGTTATGCGTCACTAAGCTTGTGAGAGAACCCCTCACAATCCTTAAACCCTACTGCGCCGTGCCTCTCTCCTGCTCCGTCCTCCACCTCCTTCAAGCAACCACAAGTTTCTTTGCAAAAAGTCCAACCGGGAAGCAATAACCCGCCACAGTCACCTCCATACTACTGTACTTTTCTTCATTCACCAAACCACCGAAAGCTTTTCTGGACTCTCTTTCTCAGCAGCACCATGGCTCTCGCTACCGAGGTATCATCGATAAACTCTCTCATCACACTCAACCTCTCTTCCCCTTCGCGTTTCACCGTTTATCATATCTTTGCAGGGCGCAACAAACTCCGTGGAGGCCGTGGCCTTCAGTTTTCTGACGGACAAAGAGATACTTCAGAGTAGTCGCGTTAAAGTTACCGATGCCATTCTTGTCGATAATCTCGGTCGTCCCGTACCTAATGGGTTATATGATCCTGCTTTTGGTCCTTTTGTCGATAGGTTTCCGTATGTATCTCAATTCCACCTTTTCTTCTTCTAATTTTCAGTTTTACTAGGGTTTTGCTTATTCTTAATAACTGGCTATGTTTATTTTGATGTTGTATCCACCTTTTGCTCCATGCAGTTGTAAAACCTGTGGTCTGCCCAAAGATCACTGCTCAGGTCATTTTGGTCATATCGAGCTCGTTGCCACTGTGTATAATCCTCTGATGTTCACTATTCTTAGCAATATTTTAAAGAAAACATGTTTCTCTTGCCATCATTTTAAGGCTAATAGAAACGAGGTAAATATACGTTGATAATTTTTTAAATTTTTATAAATGTATTTCTTGACTGTTGTTCCTATGGTTTCATGATGATTCAAGGTGGACAAGTGTTTGTCCAAATTGAAGTTAATTATGGAAGGGAATATTAGCAAGGCCAAAAGTTTAGATGGAATTCAACTAGATGGACCTCTAGATTCAGGCGATTTTGATGTTGATGATGAAAACCAATGTAGTAGACCCGAGCAACCGATAAAAAATTGGACATCTATTCAATTTTCTGAGGCAATGTCTGTTCTAAGAATGTTTCTACTTAAGGATTACAGGAAGTGTCAAAATTGTGGAAAAGTCAGTCCTAAAATTACTAAACCAATCTTTGGATGGTTTCACGTGGTAAAATATTTGTTTCTCTCCTTGCTTGATTCTATTTTCAGAAGTTATAATTTATTAACGAATCTTAGAGATATTTTTCTAGTTTTTGCTAGGTTGTATTGAATGCTTTCAACTCCTTACATTCTTTTTCTTTCGATCATTTGAACTCCTTTCTTTTCTAAAGACTTTAGAAAACCTTCTCTTGGATCTATCACGTGCACTTTCAAATTAATGAAAGCATTGTGATGTATGTCTTTTCTACTCACCTAACATCTCTCCAACAAGCTTACAGCTTCCATTCCCCATCTCCTCGGGTGGCGTCACACTACTCAACCAATGTTTTTTCCTTTTTTTCTTCCATCCATAATGCTGATAGCTACACGACTTCCGCCATACCCTGCCATACAAAAACAGCTATCGTCACCTGCCACCGCCAATTTTTGACAATATCTAGCATTTATTTTAAATGGTTAATGAACTCAATCATTTATTTTAAACAATTTAAATTCAGTTTTAAATTGGTTCAAAACCAGTTTCCTTTTATAAATTGGTTTAGTTACAATATTTAATAAAAAATCAATTGAGAATATAAAAAAACTGAATATTTTATTTATCAAAAAAAAAGATTTCGAAAAGAAAAACTGAATTGTTTTTTTTCCAGAAATAAAAAGTTAACGAAAATTTTAAAAAAAACTGAATTTTTTTTCCAAGAAAAAAGATTTATGAAAATAAAATAAAAACTGAAATATTTTATTTCTATAAAAAGTCATTTGGGTAAAAAAAGATTTTTTTTATGTTTAACATTTTTTTCCAAAAAAAAAGTTTACAAAATCAAAACAGAAACAAAATCTTTTTACCAGAAATTTAAAAAAAACTGTTTTTTTTTTTTCTTCTGGAAATTTGAAAAAACAGGGTTGTAAGTGATGCCTACTCTTATACCAATGAGTGGTACATTAGGGGATTCTCCATAGCAACCAATAATAGTGACATCTGCCTGAGATCGAGAACACAAATGGATATCCGAATGAGCGAGTGACATCAACCTTTGAGACCACCTCAAACCTTGTTCATTCTTTATCACTGATCGGGGCAGGTGCAAAACAAACCACCTGGATAGTAGAGGTATGTAACACATAAGAGTTCCTCGCTTCTTCATAGTACGAGTGTAGAGGGAGTGCAGGATATCTCCAAGTAAAACAGGTACTAGATTACGAGTGAGATATATTTTGATGGCATTCACATCTATGAATTGGTCTGGATTAGGGAATAGTACAAACCATAAATCAGCAAAGCCAAAATATCCTCAAAAGCACGAAAATTCATGGCATCTAGAAACCACTGAGCCTTCTCTATCAGAAATTTAAGAGAAAAACCCTTGACTTCATTCCTTGTTTCCCAATTAGATACAATGTCCGGTCATTTCAAATGTAACGCTACTACAATGTCTTCAGGTTTTGGAACTTGCTTTAGACCAGTGAAATGTATTTGATCAAGAATAGGCACTTGGAGTAACTTAGAGAATTCTTCCATTGTGGGCACCAATTGATAATCCCGGAAGGTAAAACAGTGATGTTTAGGATCAAAGAATTGGAACAGAACACTCATCATGTCTTCTTTAAAACCGATAGTAACCAAACTGAGTAAATGACCATGTATCTTGGTGAATTGAGAATTGTCAGAAACTTTTGATACTAATTCCTAAAGCTTGGAAGGTACCTTTACAGAGTTGATTCAGATAGTATTCCTGCGACTGTAATCCATGACCCTGTAACACAGAACAAAGATAAATCCCATAGATCCTTGAAATGGTTAGTCTTGATGTTATGATGTTATGCTGTTATGATGTCATATTTAAACAAATAATCAAACACAGGCAAAGCACACAAAGGCCTTAGGTTTAAGACTTGCATGGGGTTTGTAGGTAAGTATCCTCTTGAAGTTTAGTTGGCTCAACCTGTATTAACGAAGTAACCGGGTTCTAGGGATCTCAATATCATTGATTTTTCTCACAAATTTTGCCAATTTGAACTTCATACATTTGCTCAAAATTTCTCAATTTGCATTGGTCATAACTCTCTCAATTTTCATATTTTGAAGTTGATCTTGGACATTTTGGAAAGCTCAAGATGTCCTCTATAATATCTATGTTGATCATTTTTTCTTTTAAAGACTTTATCTTGATGTAAGTTGCCTTGACAAAAGTATCTTTTTTGTTGACTTTTATAATAATAATAATAATAATAATAATAATAATAATAATAATAATAAGCCTGTGAGAGCGTCACGATCCTTAAACCCTATGCGCCGTGCCTCTCTCCTGCTCCGTCCTCCACCTCCTTCAAGCAACCAAGCGGGAAGCAATAACCCGCCACAGTCACCTCCATACTACTGTACTTTTCTTCATTCACCAAACCACCGAAAGCTTTTCTGGACTCTCTTTCTCAGCAGCACCATGGCTCTCGCTACCGAGGTATCATCGATAAACTCTCTCATCACACTCAACCTCTCTTCCCCTTCGCGTTTCACCGTTTATCATATCTTTGTAGGGCGCAACAAACTCCGTGGAGGCCGTGGCCTTCAGTTTTCTGACGGACAAAGAGATACTTCAGAGTAGTCGCTTTAAAGTTACCGATGCCATTCTTGTCGATAATCTCGGTCGTCCCGTACCTAATGGGTTATATGATCCTGCTTTTGGTCCTTTTGTCGATAGGTTTCCGTATGTATCTCAATTCCACCTTTTCTTCTTCTAATTTTCAGTTTTACTAGGGTTTTGCTTATTCTTAATAACTGGCTATGTTTATTTTGATGTTGTATCCACCTTTTGCTCCATGCAGTTGTAAAACCTGTGGTCTGCCCAAAGATCACTGCTCAGGTCATTTTGATCATATCGAGCTCGTTGCCACTGTGTATAATCCTCTGATGTTCACTATTCTTAGCAATATTTTAAAGAAAACATGTTTCTCTTGCCATCATTTTAAGGCTAATAGAAACGAGGTAAATATACGTTGATAATTTTTTAAATTTTTATAAATGTAATTCTTGACTGTTGTTCCTATGGTTTCATGATGATTCAAGGTGGACAGGTGTTTGTCCAAATTGAAGTTAATTATGGAAGGGAATATTAGCAAGGCCAAAAGTTTAGATGGAATTCAACTAGATGGACCTCTAGATTCAGGCGATTTTGATGTTGATGATGAAAACCAATGTAGTAGACCCGAGCAACCGATAAAAAATTGGACATCTATTCAATTTTCTGAGGCAATGTCTGTTCTAAGAACGTTTCTACTTAAGGATTACAGGAAGTGTCAAAATTGTGGAAAAGTCAGTCCTAAAATTACTAAACCAATCTTTGGATGGTTTCACGTGGTAAAATATTTGTTTCTCTCCTTGCTTGATTCTATTTTCAGAAGTTATAATTTGTTTCTCTCTTTGAATTCTTTAATTTTATTGTTGTTACTGCATTTTTCGTAGGATGTGTACATTCTTTCTATCACAAGATACAATGTTTTGTCCATAGATTCAAAATTTGTAGGTATTTCTTGGTGCAATTTCTAATTATTTTTCTTCTTTTTTATGCTACTTCTCCATATTTGTTATCTGGTTGATGGTTCTAGAGAGGTATCTCAGCTTTTCAAGCCAGAGGAGAAGTTATTACAGGCAGCGATGCATCCTCTGAAAGTGAAACAATTAATGATGATATATTTTTAGGAAACGTGGATAATGAAAGTCAAATATTGTCTACTAAGCTTATTAAGGAAACTTCACTTTCTGGGTCTTTGCTACCCTCCCAGGTTAGTTTCTTGGAAATATTGGCTTACTGTGTCTATAATAACTCCTTTTTGTTTCATTTTGAAGTGTATAGATCATATCACTTAATTCTCTATTCAAATTTTAGGTTAGGGGAATTCTAAAGCTTCTGTGGAAAAATGAAGCTAAGCTGTGCTCGTATATCAGTGACATTCAAAATCAAGGTTTTGGAAAGAAAGCCGGTCACTCCATGTTCTTTTTGGAAAACATTTTTGTTGCACCAATCAAATTCCGCCCCCCATTGAGAACAGGTGATAATGTAAGTACAACCAAAAGAAACTGTTGCCAAGAATTTATAAATATCTTTTAGTGTTTTGGCAGCATGTTATACTGTGAGAATGTACTTCATGAGGCAAGCTTTTCGCTCAACTTGTTGAACAAGGAAAGGAATTGCCTGAAGATGATTTCTATCTTTATAAAGATGAAATTTTATTTGTATTTTCATAGTTATTATTTTATCCGTCTTTCCTTTGCATTTTTATTTTCTCCAACAGTCCAACTAATGAAAATATGTTGTATTCTGTTACAACTGTTACATAATATGGATTATTGGTGTGTTTTATTCACTGTGAACCATGTAAAGAGTATTGTGGCCTATTGGTATATCATAGTTTTAGTGTATGTTGTAGTTGGTGCCCATGACTTGTATTATGAATTATAGTACAAACTAAATGTGATAAATTTAGAGCAATTTAGAGAATCATTAGGGAATTTCATTCTTTTGTATTCCCTCTGCTTATTTAGTATATCACATCTTATCAATCTGGTAGGCCGTCTCTTTTTCTCTCCTAATTGATCTTTCCACATTACTACACAATTACTCGAGAAGACTAGTGGAGTTGCTTGACCTTGGAAAAATATATTATGCATGATGTTTATGTTTTATGGTTAACATGTGAGATGTTTGTTGACACATTTAGTCTTATGGGTGTGATAGGGGCTTGGGTATTATGGGGTGCACAATTTCCATAATGTAGACAGCCCAAAGTTGTTCAATTAATACAGCTAGGGGAAGACCACAATTATGATGACTTAATTTTTATGGCATAATTAATAGACTGATGAATGATCCACGGCGGGACTTATGATGGATTTGTACACCTTATTTGTCAATATTCCCTCATACATGTCCTTAATTACTTGTTCCTTATCTTTTGTAGGTGGCAGATCATCCTCAAACTGTTATGTTGAATAAGGTTTTAGAGTCCAACATATCCTTGGGACAAGCCCGTCATAACAAGTTAGATGCATCATTCATTCTAAGGCGGTGGATGGATCTTCAACGATCTGTTAACCTCTTGTTTGACAACAAATCTGCTTCCAAAAGTGAGAGTTTCATTTGGTATTGCTTAATTTATTTTGGAATAGTAATATGGAGCTGAGTGTATTTTTGTTGGCTTGTAATTTCGCCGATAGTAAAAAACAGCCTAATTAGCCTAGTTCTATTAGTAAAAAAGCAAACACACCTAATGAAAGTATACGGGATTTTATACGTGATGTTTGCAAAGGGATCTCACTCTCTTGATAAAAGATGAAATATTATAATGACGGAGGAAAAAAAATACAAAAATAAAAATGCAAAGTAATTGTCAAAAAAAACCCGACGTCAAAAACATGTTTTTGAAAACAAAATTTCAGTTCCATAAGATGAGCCTGTGGATCAATATATAAGCATGTTAGTTTGTAACTATTTCAAATTTCTTACTAATAGTTCTTACCTACATAGAATTATCGTTACTTTTTGCTTGCCCCAGGCCAAAAAGCTGTGACTACTGGAATATGTCAGTTGCTGGAAAAGAAGGAAGGCATCTTTCGCCAGAAAATGATGGGAAAGAGGGTTAATTTTGCATGCCGCTCTGTCATATCACCAGATCCTTACTTAGCAGTCAATGAAATTGGGATTCCCCCATATTTTGCTCTAAGGTTAACATATCCTGAGGTGAGAGTTGTAACTACATATTTTGTCAATATGCATTTCTTTTACACCCAATAGTCCCATGTGAAAAAGTTTTACACCGACAGTACGTGCATATTAAATTATATATGTAATTTAATTAATTTAATTTGTATACATGCCTCTGTAAATTTTTTTATCCATACTACTCGATGTGGGATTTGAGCACCCCATAATATACAAATCTCAATGAGAGTTGGTAGAAAAAATGGTGGGGGTATGGTTGTGCTGGAACGTCTACTTCTCAGATTCTGGCTGGAAAAAACGAGGTTCTTTATAGGATCCTTTCTTTGGGTTTAGAAAGAATTCCCAAAGCAGACAAAAATTGAATAAACAAAAGAATAATTTTAACTAGAATTAAGCTTGATCAACAAGATAATTCTTTGAGTATCCTTCTGGTATCATCAATTAAATGGAAATGATACAAATAAGCAAGATCACCTTGCACACAAGGCTACCCCAAAGGAGCACTTTCCTTTCATATTAAAGCATTCTCGTGTTCAAAGCTCTCAAAAAAATGTTTTCCTCCCCTTCCCTAAGCAAAGCTATTCCTATTTATAATCCATAAGTCCAACAAAAACAAAAAGACTAACAAGCCTAACAAATAAAACTAACTAATACCCAACTTATCAACAAACTTCCTATTTGTTTGAACTTTGAAGTCCTCACAATGCACCCTCCTTCATATGTGGAATACCCATTCTGCCCCGTCCTCCTTCCTAGTCAGGACCATTCTCATACAAACAATTATGTCATCTTTGTTACTCATGTGCTCAGCGCTTGCAGAGACATGGTAAACACCATTTGAAGACTAGGAAACTCCAAGTCGTGGCTGGAGTTGACTAACTCCTGCAATAAGGCCCTTTTTGCAGCCTCAATTGGGTGATTTTGGCACAATACGCGACTGCAAACAGAGCACATGATTTTCGCAGCACGGCTGCAACTAGTGTCTAAGCAAGGTCTTAAATGAAACCACAATTCACTGTAAATGTGCCGCTGTAGCACCTCTTATGAATTTCAGGTGTTTATTCAATTTAGCCATCTGCATATGGTACTCATCACAAAACTCACAACCACCATGGATCTAACAGAAGTAAATATTTTGGTCTTGTGTCTTGTGTTAATACTAGTTTTAGTATTGCTTAGCTGTCTTTATCGGCCTGTGTAGTGTGCCTTACTAGATACAAGAGTTAGTTAAAAGAGCCGAGTCATCAACAGCTTGTGTAGCATGTGTTACAGGAGCTGCTGCTACATCAACCTAAACTATTTGTTAATGCCTCTGAGAGTTTGTTATCAGTTGGTGTAGGTTAGTACCACTGGAAATGCAGGATAGTAATCATATTCATTCTCTTGTAATTTGATCTTCAAGATCAATAAATAATTCATATTCAAAAGTATAGCAAAATTATCTTCACCTCTTCTCTCATTTTTCTACTCTAATATAGTAATATGCCTTTGATTACTTTTTTGACTGCTTATATTATATAAGTCTGATAGTGTTAGACAAACCATCTTTTCCCTTGGTACATTCTTTATAAGTTAATAAAGAAGAAAAAAGGTAATTAAATTTAAGCATTCTTGTTCATCTGTTTAATAATTTGCACTCTTCAACCAAATTTTGACCTCATTATTCTTCCTGAACATTAGAAACATAGATTGAGATATTAATCTATAGTGAAGTGAAAACAATGTGTAATGTAGTAAATTTAATATGTTGACAAACCAATCATAATGCTTGCTGGCGTTTTGCATTAGTATAATTGTGTATCGGACTTTGCATGGAACAAAGTTTTATTAGGTTTGCTGCAACACATCAAGAGACCACATTGTATGATATTTTGTTTCCTGGCATTGCCTTTTTTTTAATATATTGCAGAGAGTGACTCCTTGGAATGTAGTCAAGTTAAGGGAAGCTGTCCTAAATGGTCCTGAAACCCATCCTGGTGCCACACTCTATGCTGATAAAACATCAACACTCAGGCTTCCACTAGATAGGAGGTTATGTTCTTTTACATCAAGGAAATTACAATCATCGAGAGGGGTTATTATGCATAATGGGAAGATACGTGACCATGAATTTGAAGGAAAAGTTGTGTATCGTCACTTGAAGGATGGCGATGTAGTGCTTGTCAATCGACAGGTAATGCATTATCTCATTTGATGCATAATCAATATAGCACACCCTTATATTCCTTTGATGATATATTTTTTTCTTTAAAAAGAACGTGAAATGATAAAAAATCTGTATATGACAATAGAATGCTGGAACTATGCTGATTGCCTGTTCACATCATTGTAGTTGAAATCCCGATTTAAATTGTAAAGTCGCATGATTTTGTGATTATGCTTTCCCTCAACGATCAAGAGTATACGCAGGCATAATCCTATTTTAGTTGGAGTCGCCCTTGTAAATTGTTGAATCGTATAATCTACAATCTTTGAAACATTTCTTTGATTATGCTTATGAATGAATTTAAATTTATAACTATTTGAAGTGTGATTAGGCTTTAGTTATCTTGTGAGCTATGCTATGAATTTAAATTTACCCAAATATTTCAAGTAATTTAAGGCTTTCTTTGTCTTGCTACTGCTGTATTAAATGCAATTGTGCTTATATATGAGTTTTAGAATTTTTTATAATCTTGTAATTAGTGTTAAAAATTTGCAATTTTACTTCCCTTTTGTGATTTTGCATAAAATCTCGATTTTTATTACCTTGGTTCACATCTGTTGAAAAGTTGATGTAGTCCATGTTGATAGAAATAGGTAAAGAGAGAAAATGAAAAGAAACTCTCATTGTATTATCTAATTAAACAGTAATACAAGAGGCTACTTTATATAGCCATGTGATACAAAGCAGAAAAGGTGTGAGGCCATAACAAGCTAACAGCACACCACTAACAAACCTGACAGCTCAGCAAAACAGAATAGAAAGATAAAATGAAGGGCATATTAGTAAACTACTCTATTAGTCCCCCTTAGAAGCTGATGGCAGACTTGTCAAAGCAGCCTTATCATACACACGCAACTTGGAACGAAGAGGAACAAACTTGGCAGCAGAGAGGGGCTTAGTGAGAATGTCAGCCCATTGATCTTGAGCTGGTACATGAACAACAGTCAGACTTTTGCTGAGTACTTTCTCTCGCAGAAAGAAAATATCAAGCTCCATATGCTTAGTCCTGTTGTGAAGAATAGGATTGTGAGCCAAAGTAACAGTGCTCAAGTTATCACACAAGATCTTAGGAACTTGAGAGGAATAATGGAGTTCCTTGAGCAAGGACTGAATCCAAATGAGTTCAGCAGCTAGCTGAGCCATACTGCGATATTCCGCTTCAGCACTGGACCTTGCAACAAGCTGTTGCTTCTTGGACCACCAGGAAACAACATTAGGCCCAAGATATATGCAGGCCCCTGAAGTAGATCTCCGGTCATCAGGGTCTGATGCCCAGTCTGCATCACAGAACCCTAGCAACTGCATTGGTTGCTGAATAGGAGCAGGCTGAAGGAGAAGACCATGGTGCAGAGTACCACTTAGGTACCTTAAGATTCTTTTAACAGCCTTCCAATGATCCTCTAAAGGATTGGACAAAAACTGACAGACTTTGTTGACTGAAAAAGAGATCTCTGGCCTAGTTAAGGTAGCATATTGAAGGGCACCAACCACAGACCGAAACTGAGTAGGGTCATCAACCGCAGCAGACCCAACCTTGGACAATTTGCTGCTAGAGACCATGGGAGTAGGCATGCCATTGGCATTCAACATATTAAGCCTTGAAAGCAAATCTGTGATGTACTTAGTCTGAGATAAGAGAAGAGAACCATTAGGGAGATGAGTCACTTGAATCCCTAGGAAATAATCAAGTTGTCCCAGCTGTTTGAGAGAGAAAGAATTATTGAGATGCTTGATCAAGGAAGCTATAAAAGGAGCAGAACTACCCGTGATGATTATATCATCAACATAGACCAGAATTAGAATCTGAAGTTTACCTTGATGCAACAAAAACAAGCTAGGATCACATCTACTAGCCTTAAACCCGAGTTGAACCAAGGCACACTTTAGCTTATCAAACCAGGCCCTAGGAGCCTGTTTTAAACCATAAATAGCCTTATTTAACTTGCAAACAAGAGTTCTGTCAGCAACTTCAAAGCCAGGGGGCTGTTGCATAAGGACTTCTTCTTCAAGAGTGCCATTGAGGAAGGCATTGTTAACATCAATCTGCTGCAATGGCCACCTGTTTGTAACAGCAATAGAAAGAACAATTCTCACAGTAACAGGTTTAATGACAGGAGAAAAAGTCTCTTGAAAATCATCACCAGCCTTTTGATGGAACCCTTTAGCCACTAATCTGGCTTTATACCTGTTTATGGAACCATCAGGATTCTCCTTAGTCCTGAACACCCACTTACATCCAATAGGCTTCCTTCCAGCAGGAGCTTTCACCAAAGTCCAGGTCTGATTTCTCAGCAGTGCCTGATGTTCTTCCTTCATGGCCTGAAACCAGTTAGGAGCAGCCAAGGCTTGCTCAACAGATGTAGGTTCAAGGTGGGCTATTAATAGAGTAGGGTGAAGTCTAGGAAGAGTGATTCCTCTTTTGGCTCTAGTTTGCATAGGGTGGATGTTTTGAGGGTGAATGGAAGGTAAAGCTGTGGCAGCAGGGTGGGAAATAGGACTAGGGCCAGGGGAGGGACCAACTAAAGGAGAGGAATATGAAGAGGAGGGAGAAAGAGTGCTAGCTTCAGCGGGATCAGAGAGAATGAGGGCAGGAGAGGAAGAAGGAGAAGAGGTAATGGGAATGGCAGTGAGAGGTTGAGGGATAGGTTGCTGACCAGAAGAATAAGAGTTGTTAGAGGGAGCAGCAGAGGAAGAGGAAGAAGAGATTGGAGAAAAATTAGAAATAGTGGGACTGCTAAGTTGAGGAAAAGCAGAATTTGAGGAAGAAGAAGGCATAGAAGACAGATTAGAAGTAGAGGGAGCAGAGGGAACAGGAGGAAAACTGAGAGAGGGAGAGGAAGAGGATGGAGTGTTAGGAAGAGAGACAGATTTTGAAGAAGAAACCAAGGTGGAATAAGGAAAATTTGCTTCATTAAAAACAACATCCTTGGAAATAAAAATGCGACCATCTGAAGCAAGGCATTTATAGCCTTTGTGAGAGGTAGAGTATCCAAGGAAAATACATAGTTGAGATCTAAAATCAAGTTTATGAGAATTATAGGGACGGAGAAAAGGATAACATGCACAGCCAAAGACTTTAAGGATAGTATAGTCAGGGTTTTTGTGAAGTAATTTAAAATAAGGTGAGACATTGTCAAGTATAGGTGTAGGAAGTCTGTTAATGAGATATGCAGCTGTGACAAAGGCATGATCCCAGAATTTTAAGGGAAGGGTGGACTGAGCAAGGAGTGTGAGACCAGTCTCAACAATGTGCCTGTGCTTACGTTCAACAAGGCCATTTTGGTGATGTGTATGGGGACAAGTGAATCTGTGAACAATCCCTAAATCTGTGAGATATTTGGTAAGAGGCCTAAACTCACCTCCCCCATCAGTTTGGACACATTTAATGGGACAATTGAACTGAAGTTCAACCATTTTCTTAAACTGAAGAAATTGAACCATGGTGTCAGACTTAAGTTTGAGAGGAAAAACCCAAACAAACCTAGAGAAGGCATCAATACAGGTTAGGAAATAGGTATAACCACTGGAAGATTGCATAGGGGCAGGACCCCAAAGATCACATACAACCAGCTCAAAAGGATGAGAGTAAACTGTGGTAGATAAAGAAGAAGGAAGTCTATGAGACTTGCCAATGCAGCAAGCGTGACATAACTCAGCAGGGGGTTTAGATGGAAAGGATTGATTACACAGTTTGAAGATTTCAGTGAGGGCATGATGATTGGGGTGTCCCAGCCTAGTATGCCAAAGCACATATTTATTGGATGCAATAGAATTTGCAGCATTAAAGTGTGAGGAAGGTAAAACAGTACTGACAGAGTTTAGAGAAGGATTGAAAAAGGTACTTGTAACATTATAATTGCAAGATTCATTACAAGAAGACAAAGGATTTATAGTATGATTTGCAACAGATTCAGTACACTGAGATATAGAATCTATAACATCCGTCCTATAGGAAGTATTACAATTGTATGCTGCAGGATAACTATGACTAGAACTATAAGAGGAAGAAGATTTGGACAACGGAGGAGCAGCTGGATTGGAGAATTTATAGAGGCCATCAGCACCAACAAGACCACTGAGTAAGACTTCAGAAGTAGCCTGAGATTTGACAACACAAAACTTAGGATGAAATTCAAAAAATACAGAATTATCTTGAGCAAATTTGCTCACACTCATAAGGTTTTTGGTGATGTGAGGGACATGTAAGAGATTGTTAAGAGTGAGAGATAGATGAGGTTTGTGAGGTAAGGGAAAAGACATAGAACCTACAGAGTTGATGGACAAACCTTGGCCGTTACCTATGAAAACTTGTTCAGTTCCAGGCACGGAGGCAGAGTCAGACACATTAGAGGCATCAGGAGTAACATGATGAGAAGCTCCTGAGTCAGGATACCACCACTGGTTTGCACTGCTAGCTTCAGTACCTGCATAAAAGGCTTGTGGTGCAGAAGATCTGGGAGGCGCAGCTCTGGGAGAAGCATAAGCAAGCTGCACAGGATAAACAGCACGAGGAGCCACGTGAAAAGGATTGAAGGGAGCTCGATGATGTGGATAACTAGCACCACTTGAATTGGTATAACGATAGTAGCATACTGAAGCATCATGACCAGGTTTGTGACAAATCTGACACGGTGATTTCCCAAAACGACCTCCTCCACGACCAAAACGACCACCACCGCGACCAGAACGACCACCACGTGCACCATAGGAATGATTTTCAGCATTAGCGGTGACGTGACTCGTTCCTTGAGGAAACGCCTCGGAGATGACTTGATCAGAAGCGACTGGAGTGGGAGAAGGTGTTGCTTGAGTGAGATTGATCGTCGCCGTCGCCGGTTCTGTAATCGCAGCTTTGCGATGCTTCTCCAATCGCGACTCATGAGCAAGCAAGGAAGACTCCAACTCTTCCAAGGAGCTAACGTCATCTTTGCTGTTAACGGCGGCGACAATAGAATCATAATCCTCAGGTAACGAATCAAGAACAATCTCAATGAGGTTACGAAGAGGAACGGGATCACCGATGGAGGTTAGCGACTCACTGATGTCACGTGAACGCGTCATAAGCTCAGTAATCGTTAGTGAACCCTTCGTAAGACGCCGGAGTTCTGAACGAAGTTGACGAGCCTTGGTGGAGAGAAGAACATCAAAGTACCGATGAACTTCTGTCCACACCTGCCACGCATGCTTGCAGTCAACGAGCTTAGGAAGGAGAGCATCGGAGATGGTAGAGAGAAGCCAGGTGCAAATGAGAGCATCCTGCTGTTCCCACTCAAGAAACGCACTGTGAGATGCAGGATCTGAGGGAGACGGTGGCGGAATCACCGGAACAGTGACAAAGCGTTGAAGACGATGACCACGGACGACGCCATCAATCTGCTGCTTCCACTGTTTGAAATTCTTGTCGTCAAGCTTAACAGAAATTAGGTGAGAAAGTTTCACCTGAGAGGAAGGGAATAAAGGTTCCATGGATCGGAAAAAAAAATTATGCTCTGTATACCATGATAGAAATAGGTAAAGAGAGAAAATGAAAAGAAACTCTCATTGTATTATCTAATTAAACAGTAATACAAGAGGCTACTTTATATAGCCATGTGATACAAAGCAGAAAAGGTGTGAGGCCATAACAAGCTAACAGCACACCACTAACAAACCTGACAGCTCAGCAAAACAGAATAGAAAGATAAAATGAAGGGCATATTAGTAAACTACTCTATTACATGTACATACACGTTTGCGTGTGTGTGCGCGTGCATGATCATTACACACAAGCACATGTATATGCATTTTAGTTTGAGTTAAAATCTTTGTTTTCTTTAAGTTGGCAACAATTATTCTGATGTCATATCTTGCTAAATATGTGACATTAACAAGGCCATTAATATCTTATGGTTTGAATTGGACTTTGCATTCTGTTGCAGCCAACACTTCATAAGCCTAGTATAATGGCACATGTAGTTCGTGTTCTAAAGGGGGAGAAAACAGTTCGCATGCATTATGCAAACTGCAGGTAACATTTTATCTTTTTCTTTGAGCTTGGTTAGATTGCAGGATGAGTATTTATTTATTATTTTTATTATTATTATTATTATTATTATTATTATTATTATTATTATTGTTGTTGTTGTTATTATTATTATTATTATTATTATTATTATTTATACATTTGCCTGTATCCCGAGAACTTATTTTCACATACTAATATTAATAATATCGTTTTTTAATATAGTTTATGGTTTATAATGTCAATTACTTTATATTTTTTTGCCTCTCTTCATGATCTCAGTACATACAATGCTGATTTTGACGGTGATGAGATTAATGTTCATTTTCCACAAGATGAAATTTCGCGCGCTGAAGCTTACAATCTTGTAAATGCCAACAACCAATATGTGAAGCCTACAAGTGGTGATCCAATCAGAGCCTTGATTCAGGTATTTGTGCATACTTGATTCAGGTATTTGCATACATACTTATAAAAGGACTGCCCACTCCATTTGGACCTCGACATAATAGGGGTCTAGAGAGAGAGAGAATCAAATGCATCATGCATGCAGCTTAACTCCAGGGGGCTGAGAGTTTGTTTTCCAAATTCCCATGACCAATAAAACAAGCAAATTAATTTATTAGCACCTATTTGCCTAAATTGTTAGCAAGCTTTATTATATATATCAGAGGTCACCCGTGCAGTATGTGGCAAGGGAAAAGATAAACCGACGGAGGGACACAAACACTAGAGTGTGTAGACACTTATGCTGGCAAAAATAGGATTGTGCCACTTGTCTAATAAAAACCGACTTTTCTTATTATTTAAATGATTGTTTTGGGTGAGTTTCTGAAGTTTATTTTTCCCATTTCAAGGATCATATTGTGAGTGCTGCTCTTCTTACCAAGAAAGATACCTTTTTGAGCTGTGAAGAGTTCAATCAACTTCTCTACAGTTCTGGTGTATCCATGACTGTGTCGGGCTCTGTCACTTGCAAACCAGGACAGAAAATATTCACGTTAAACTCCGAGAGTGAAATGTTTCAGTTTCCTCCAGCAATATTCAAGCCGGAGCCACTGTGGACAGGGAAACAGGTTAGTATATATTTTAACACTTCAGATGTTATAAAAGACTACTATCTAAGGCAGTGTTTGTTTCAAGTTCAGGAACCACGCTCCTGGGTAAGGAGTGAGTATATCCTTGTTTGTATAAAGTTGAGAAAAAATTATTCTTATAAAGGTTTCCAGGAATGATAACTTCCAATAAGTTCACAGATTCATTTCCAAGTGAGAAGGTGATTTTTCTAGGAATATTAAATTGTGTGCCAAACACTTAATTAAAATATATCTAGGAATCAAATTCACATCTTCATAATTCTGGGCAAGTTATTCCTAGGAGTAATTTTTGATTCGGTGAAACAGACTCCCCTTAAATAAACTTGCCGAAGCCTTTTTCGTTATCATTTTCTCACTTGTGTATTATTTTAAAGTTTATTAAATTCTTGAATATGCATGTGTTAAATCTTGTCACTTAGTCAATCATGGATCGTGGAAAGTAATACTTTGTCCTAAGTAAGTGTATTACTGAACAATAGTGATTTGTTTAGATTTTGCTATGCAACAGCGCCACTGTGTGACCACACTGGTCTTTTATTTTTTTTCTTTGGCACATTGTTTTTACATGCCATTATCGTTGTATGAAGTAATTTTTTTTCTTCTACTTTCTAGGTTATCAGTGCATTGCTGTTGAGAAGAATGCAAAAATCTCATCTAGTTTTTTTAAGACTCAAATGAGGGAGGGAAAAAAAGGCACTAAAGATACCTCAAGAAAAAAGGATGAGAATGAGGATAAATTGTTGATATATAGAAATGATTTGGTGCGTGGTGTAGTTGATAAGGCTCAATTTGGTGACTACGGAATGGTGCATACAGTGCAAGAGTTTTATGGCTCAAACACTGCGGGCATTCTTCTGTCGGCATTAAGTCGGCTGTTCACCAACTTTTTACAGGTTAGTCACCATTTCTTTAGTTTTGCAAATACGATATATTCTATTGTATAGGATTTGATTATCTTGAAAGATTCTGATTTATTTGGTCATTCAGATGCACGGGTTCACATGTGGGGTTGATGATCTTCTGATAACAGAAGGAAAGGATAGTGAAAGAATAAATCAACTTGAAAGCTGCGAGGAAATTGGTGACATTGTTCATCGAGAATTCATTGGAGTCATGGAAAGGGATAATATTGGTAATGCTTCATTTCCCAATGTGGTAACATTTATGATAATATTTTGGTTAATTGCTAGGCTGACTATCCCGAATAGCGGTGCTGAGTGGCCAACCTCAAAAGTGAGATACGAGATTGCGTATAGGAGGATGACCACTATTTGGTCATTTAATGGACAAATTACATGAATAATACTATGAGCATATATTTCATGTAAAATTAAACAATTAACTTAAAATCCATTAAACATTCATAAATCAAAACACCCGGCTTAATAAAAAACAATCAAAAACCTACAATTCTTAATCAAAACACTATAAAATCCACATGTACTGCACCTCACCTCTAAAAAGCCATGGTCATCAACAGTTGGCACCAACTAACTCAACACAGCACAGTGGCGCGGACTTCCCCTGGATTTCCTGCTAGACCTTCCTCATTGCCTACACCTCAATTTCAAGTCAAACGACCTCAAGTCTATCTCTGGTACTGAAGCTACAACTATCAGTTTGCAGCATCTTAGTTGTATCCTGTCTCAGATGCCACTCATCATGTCTCTCACATTGCTGATACTTTCTATGAAAACATTGTGGAAAGAAAACCTGTGGATTATGTAGTAAGGAGAGTAGATCAAATGGAGAGTAGTCAAACAACTAGAGTTAGAGGAAGATAGAGAAAAAAATATACGAGAGCCTATTAAGATATATCCCGAGATTAATGAGTTTGATAAAAACATGGTTTTTGATAGAACATTATGGCATAGTTTGGTCCATGTAACCGATCCCCTTTAGTGCATAAGACTTTGTGTGTTGTTGTTGTTGTTTTGTGGTGTACTTGGCATTTCCTTATTACTTTTTAGATTTCCGTGTAAAACATTAATGTGTAGGCATATTTGGTATTTCAGATCCAATCACAATGCAGTTGAATGTTGAGAAAAAAATACGCAGTAATGGAGAAGCGGCCTTAACATACTTAGATAGGAAGATGATAAGTAATCTTAACACCAGAACTAGCTCAGGGGTATTGAAGGAGCTACTATCTGAAGGAATATTAAAACCTTCAGGAAAAAATTGGATTTCTCTTATGACTACATCTGGAGCTAAGGGAAGTATGGTAAGTGTATTGTTGCATCTACATCATTCTATTTACCTTAGTTGTTTGTGTATAAGGATACAAAGCAATATATCTACTCCTGGGCTTTGACTTCTATTAAGTTTAAACCAATTGACTTTTTAATTGAGCTAACTGTATTTTTAACCAAATGCATTGAAAATTCAAGGATGTTGGACTTTTTGTACACTTTCTTTTCTGGTATTGAAACAGTTTGGTAATTTAAGTTTTGTTTGCACTAGGTTTTGTTTAATTCTTTTATTAACCAGACATTACTTTTATTAACCAGACATTAATAACTCGTCTGACAATTGTTTTTATAGTTTTTTTTGGGATAGTATGAAAACTCTTTTGGCGGTGTTTCTTTAACACACTATCATAAGTCCATTTTCGGCAGTGTTTTTTGAACACACTATATATAATGGCATTTAGTGATATGAAGGTGATTTCATATGCTTTTGAACAGGTCAATTTCCAGCAGATATCTTCTCATCTTGGCCAGCAAGAGTTGGAAGGAAAACGAGTCCCACGTATGGTTTCTGGCAAGACCTTACCATGCTTTCCATCATGGGATTGTTCCCCCAGGGCAGGGGGATTCATTATTGATCGGTTTCTTACCGCTCTTCGTCCACAGGAATATTACTTTCATTGTATGGCTGGTCGAGAAGGGTAAGACAAAAGCTTCAAGATTATGAATCAATATGCTATTATTAATTGTTTATGTATAGTATATATTTAAAATCTAAAAGACACAATGACCCATAATACTAAAAGTCTAAAGCACTTGCATCTGATTCAAATACAGTGTTATCGATTGTGGATGGCAGACCATGGCAGAAAGTAAAACATCTGTTAAATTAAGCCCTCCATATCTGCCATAAAGGGCCATGGTGTGCCCCCTTTCTTTACAAATTGGTCATGGCAGCTGTTAAAAAATATGTACCACTGTTTTGGAAATACCAATCACTTCAGTTGTTATTTAACTTTAATGGATAAGATTTTCTTGAAATGTAAACAAAATGGATCACTTCATCAAATCAAATAGAAATAGAAGATGAGTAAATGAGAAAGATTCCAAGTTTCTCTATTTAACATCTGGGTGGCAAACAGACATGTTCTAGTCATATAACTCTGTCTCATGCAGATGCATGGGATGACCAGAAATATAACCTTCTGCTGCGATAGATTTTAGGTAGAGAATAGTCTTCGTCTTTTGTTAGAAAACCCAAATTAGGTAGTTGGTCTTTTACCTGTTTATTGCAGATTAAAAGCTGTCTAATCCATTAGTTCTATGCACACCCTTGGATTGTGTATTACTCTGGTTAGGGGTGTTCATAATATCATGTTAAGAAACAATTAGGTAAAATAAAAAGGTTTTTACACCAGTCCATAATTTTTTAAAATAAGATGTCCAGGTCCCTAAGTTTGTGTATAAGTTCCAGAAACTTGGTAGAAGCCAAGGGCTTGGTCAGCACATCAGCAATTTGATCAATGCCAGGGATATGCAACACCTGAATTTTGCTCAGCCAAAACCTTTTCCCTCACAAAAAACAGATCAATCTCCATATGCTTGGTCCTGGAATGCGAAACAGGATTATGAGCTAATAGAACAGAAGATTGATTATCACACAGTATGATGGGGAGGCTTAGTTTGAATGCATAGCTCCTGCAATAATGTCTGAATCCAAAGAAGGTCACTGTAGCTTGAGCTAAGCTTCTGTATTCAGATTCAGTGCTGGACCTAGCAACAACTGGTTGCTTCTTTGACCACCAGGCAATCAAATTAGCTCCAAAGAAAATAGCAGCATCACAGTAGACATGAAGAGAGGGAGAAGCCCGAGGGGAAAGAGGAGTGAGATAAACCATGATGAAGGGTACCTTTCAAGTACCTGAGAATCCTCTTGACAGTCTGCCAAAGAGAATCAAGGGGATGTGACATAAACTGACACACTTTGTTAACAGCATAGGTCAAATCAGGTCTGGTGATAGTAGCATACTGCAAGGCACCAACCATAGACCTGTACATATAGGGATCAGAAAAGGCTGCAGACCCAGTTTTGGTAAGTTTGCAGGTGGACTGCATGGGTGTGCTGACAGAACAGGCTTCTAACATGTTAGTTTTTTGCAGTAAGTCTCTGAGATACTTAGTTTGGGTGAGAAGCATAGAACCATTAGCTGACTGCTTAACCTCAATATCCAGAAAATAGTCAAGATCCTCAAGATGCTTGAGGGAGAAGGCAGAATTAAGCTTTTGAATGACCTCATTGAGAAGAGGAGTAAAACTGCCAGTGAGAATAATGTCATCTACATAGACCAGTAGATAGAGAGTGCCCTTTGGAGAAGTATGTGAAAAGAGAGGGAGGGGTCACACTTGCTGGCTTTAAAATTGAGTTTGAAAAGAGCTGATTGCAGTCTCTCAAACCACTGCCTAGGAGCCTGTTTTAGGCCATATAAGTCTCAGTAAAATCCAGTCCATGCCTTTGATGAAATCCTTTGGCCACCAATTTGGCCTTGTATCTGTTGACGGTGCCATCAGGATTTTCCTTGAGCCTAAAGACCCACTTGCAGCCAATGAAATTCTTGTTAGGAGGTAAGGGCACAAGGGACCATGTGGCATTTTTCTGTAAGGCTTCAAATTCATCCTGCATAGCTGCCTTCCAATGCAAATCAGCAAGAGCCTGTTTAACAGATTTAGGCTGAGTGAGTAATAAGCACCCTAGGATCCAGTCTAGGCTGAGTGAATCCAGATTCCTCGTTTTCATAGGATGAGAATTCTGAGGGATAATAGCCACATGAATAGCATTAGGAGGGACATTTGACTCAGGTTCAGTGACTGAAGATGAGCTGGATGAAGAGTCAGCCTGCCTAGAGAAAGTCCCTGAGGAGTTACTGGCAACAATGGATGAAGATGCTGCAGAGCCACTAGTGGGTGATGAATTTTCAGGAACAAAACATGCAGGGGTAGGTGCATTAACTGGTGAGGGAGCAGGACAGGCAGGTGTGAGGTCATTTGAGGGACTAGAGATATGAGGCTGTGTAGTGGTGATGTGTGGAGTAAGAGAACTCAACAGGGGGCTAGAGTACTGAGTTGCCAAGGAAGTGCTGTGACTGGGAGCAGAACTAGGTCTGGGTGAAGAAAAATAAATCTAGATAGGGAAACCTAGACTCATTAAATAGAACATCCTTTGAGATGTATAGCCTTCCATTAAGAGCTAGACACCTATAGCCTTTATGAGATGTGGAATATCCAAGAAAGAGACATTCTTGAGATTTGAAGTTAAGTTTCTGAGAGAGATAAGGTCTTAAGAGAGGAAAGCAAGCACAGCCAAAGACCTTGAGAAACTTGTAATCAGGCTGTTGATGAAATAAAAGAGTGTAGGGAACCTCAAAATTAATAGAGGCAGATGGCAGCCTGTTAATTAGGTATACAACAGTGGAGAAGGCATAGTCCCAGTAGGTTAAGGGAAGGGATGCCTAACTGAGCAAGGTAAGCCCCAAATCCACTATGTGCCTGTGCTTTCTTTCAATGACACCATTCTGGTGGTGTGTATGTGGACAGATAAGGCGATGGATAATACCCAAATCAGTGAGATATTTTGTAAATGGTCTGAACTCACCCCCCCAGTCAGACTGAACAGCTTTAATAGGTAACTCATGTTGTAGTTCAACCATTGCCTTAAACTTTTGAAACACAAAAATAGCTTCAGATTTAGCTTTGAGAAGATAGATCCAAGTAAACTTGGAGTAAGCATCTACAAAAGACATATAATACAGAAAACCAGAGGCAGGGAGGCCTTGGGTGAGGGCCCCCATAGGTCAGTATAAACAAGTTCAAGGGGTTTTGTGTAAACTGTGTGTGAAGTGGGAGCATGTAATCTGTGAGATTTACCCATACAACAAGCAGAACAAAACATATCACAAGTTTTATTGCTGAAATGAACATTACAATGTTGCAAAACAAGTTTTAAAGCATGATTGTTAGGGTGTCCTAACCTAAGCTGCCACATGTAAGGAAAACTAGTAGAAAGAGAAACAGCATTGGCACTAGGTGCAACATTATTGAGAGAAAAACTAGTAGAATGCAACAAAGACTTAGCAGATTGTGACACATCAATGGAAGGAAACTCATAAAGTCCATCAGCTCCTACATGACCTTCAAGAAGAGTGGCATCAAACACCTGACATTTAACAAGACACTTGTCAGCTGAGAATAAGAAATACACATGTTTATCCTTAGAAAACTGACTGACACTAAGCAGATTTTCAGTGATAGCAGGAACATGTAGTAAGTTCTTGAGAGTGAGGTGTGTGGTAGGGTGAAAAGGTGAAGGAAAGGAGCTGGAACCAGCAGATTGAATGGCCAAATCTTGTCCATTACCAATGAAAATCTGGTCATGGCCTTCAAAAGGAGTTACTTGTTGCAAGTTCTTTGCATCACTGGTGACATGACATGAAGCTCCAGAATCAGGAAACCAGGAACCTGATGTGGATGGTAAAGCATTTGCCACAAAGGTACTTGGAGGTTGTGTGATGTTAGGAGGATAAGGAGACACAGCAGGTGGCCTGGACCACACATAAGGCATAAGGAGAAGCTTGAGGTGGTCCTTGAGTGTAATAGGCATGAGCACTCTGCCACTGTGGTTGCACATAGCTTGCACCAGTAGGCTGGAACTGATAGTTGAACCTGTGCCAGCACTGTAGTGTAGAATGGCCAGGTTTGGAGCAAAATAGGCACTGTATATTAGAGTTGGAGGATCTGCCACCTCTTCCACGGCCAAATCTACCACCACGATGACCTTTTCCACCTCTAAAAGGTTGATAATCCTGCACTTGGTTAGAATGACCAGACTGAGCAGAGGAAGAATCAGAGGAAGAATCAGTGACAGGTGCTGGAGATTCATCTGTTGTTGGTGACTGAGGCATAGCATGAGTTAGGTTAAGAGAGACCAAATCTGGAATTGGCTGCTTCTTGAATTTGTTCAGACGCAGCTCATGAGCCAGCAACAAAATCTCCACTCCGTCAATGTCCATAACGCCAAATTTGCTTTCAACCAGACACAACTGGAGCGTACTCAGCAGGCAAGCCTTCAAGGATAACATCAATGTGATTAGAGACTGGAATAGGATCACCAATGGAGGCAAGTGCATCAACAATGGTACGAATCTTCAGTAGATAGTCTTGAACAGGAAGAGTGTCAAGCGTAAGAGCACGCAATTCAACACGCAGATGGCGTGCCCTAGCATGAGTTTGTTTCTGAAAATAGCTAAAAAGACGATCCCACAGTTCATGAGTGAGAACAGCCAAGCACACGTGAGAGAATCTCACTGGAAAGAGTAGATTGAAGCCAGGACAACAACATTTGATCCTTCTGAATCCAACTGGACTATGCAGGATTGACGGAACCGGCGCGACGAGCAGCGTCATTGACGAATTTCGACGGAACGCGAGCACAGACGACCAGATCTGTGAGATCATGAGCATTGATATACAGTTCTACCTGCTGACACCAGAGATGGAAATTCTTTTCATCCAACTTCTGCACGATCTTGAGCGAGAAGTGCAATCGGCGAGAATCATCCACCATCGGCGACATTACCGGCATCGATTCAGGCGAAACTCGAGCGGAAGAAGGAGGTGATTGCGGCGGAGAGATCACAGCCATGGATCGACTCAGCAATCTGATACCATATTAGAAAGAAGAGAAGAGAAGAATAGTGTATTCATTTCTGTGTAACTGAATTTTGTTACTTTGCAAGGTTAGTTACAAAAGGTTCCTTGATGCTTTATATATATAGCATCAAGGGTAACTTGCTATTACAGGTTAAAACAGAACTGGTACTTACAGATGCCAGTCATATATTGATACAAATAGAAGCCTAGCTACTAATATATTCAATAGCGTCAGCTTTAACTTCTCTGGTTGCAATTCAACATTACCTTTTGGATCGATGTCAAAGAAGAATGGTTGGTGGCTGTTGTGGTGGAAGGTTTTTAGCTAATTATGGAGGTGAACCTGGTTTTGAGAGAGATGCTTTTATGGTCGAAGAGAGTGGTAGCTCAATTTTGCTGGCGATAGCTTGAAAAAGGCCGTATCATAATTAGATTTGGGAAATACTAGTTTTATAACCAGAACCAATCCATTATTTAGATTTTATTTGGATAATGTTTTTGATAAGGGTGGTAAACAGGCATTGCCTGGACTAAGGCATGTGTTGCAAAAATTCAACAAGAAACAGGGTGGGGTGGGGGCGGATATAGTGGAGAGTGCGGGCCTAAAATTTTAACTTGTCCGCGAAAGATGTGGGCTAGGCATAGCGGGGTTGAAGGGCCCTGCACCTCTAAAGCCTAAAAGTTGCGAAAATTCATGCCCGTCCCTGAAAAAAAGACGGGGCGGGGCAAGTATAGTAGAAAGTGCGGGTCTAAAACCTTGGCTCAGCTCATGAAAAATGCAGGCAAAACGAGCATGTCGTTCCGGCAGGGCCCTTTTTGCCATATGTTGTTTTGCACAAATGAGCATCCCCTAACCTTGGGTCCCTTTCCCATGGTTACATTTTCTCAGTCTAGATTGTGCATACAACTTGCACTGTTTGCACAAATATCTTTTTTCTTTTTAAAGAGAACAACAGACCATTATATTTTGTATTTGCTTTTTAAATATGATGAATATATTTTATTCACATTGAATGTGCAGAATAACAGGGGTTTAAATGTTTACAATTTATGAAGTTGGGTTACATGATACAGTTTTGAATTGATTGTATAAAAGAAATAGAGGTGAACTAGCTAGGTTCCATTGAGTTAATTAATTGTGTGAAATAGAAATATTTTGAATTTATTTCCTCTAGGATAAACCATAAAAAAATACCTTCTAAAATTTTAAATGAAAAGTAGGTTTTTTGTTAGAGCTCAATGGTGTCAACGAACAACGTGATCCTGATTGGGGAGGACGTTTTCCCCAAGTCATTGTTGTAGCATGAAGAGTGTAGGACTAGATATATGTGCGGGGCCTAATGTCGTTGTTCATGTTAGAAGATATAAATATCTTATAATATCTTGATATTATTTTAGAGTATCTTCTAGCTGTTGGGTTATAGGCTTTGATACTATGCCATAAACCAGTTTCCCCAATGCTTAAGCTGCTAGGTGAAAAATGATGAAAACTTTTAATAGTATAACTGCAACAATGCAAGTTATCTTAAACTAGAATCACCAATTTATAGATCAAAACTTGGCGTTGCTAGATTGCAATACACCACCCTTCCTTTCTCCCAACCCAAAGCTTAAGCTGCTAGGTGAAAACAGATGAGTACTTTTAATAGTATAACTGCAACAATGCAAGTTATCTTAACTAGAATCACCAGTTTATAGACTAAAACTTGGTGTTACTAGATTACAACACAGCACTCCCTTTCTCCCAACCAAAAGAATTGCATTCAGTTTCTCTTGTCTTTTTGCTTTTTTCTATCGTTGTGCAAGCAAGTTTCCCAAGTTTTGTTTGTGGAAATGTTGATATTTTTCAAATAGAAGGCTTAATGTATTCTGGTCATCATGTCCTGATAAATGACATCTTTTGTTCACAGGTTAGTTGACACTGCAGTCAAAACATCTAGGAGTGGATACTTGCAAAGATGTCTTATGAAAAACCTTGAGTGTCTAAAAGTTTGCTATGATCACACTGTACGTGATGCTGATGGATCAGTTATTCAGTTTCACTATGGAGAAGATGGTGTGGATGTACATCAAACTAGCTTTATCACCAAAGTAGAAGCACTTTCAATTGTATGAACTTGTTTAATACTTTCAATAAAACCATAAAATTTGATATAGTTCTTGTATCCATGGTTTATGCGTTTGTTTATTATTTTCAGAATAAAGAATTGGTTTACAGCAACTGTTGTCGTCAGCTAGATAGATCCAGTCCTTATATTAACAAGTTGCCTGATGCTCTTAAAGGAAAAGCAGAAAACTTCATTCGTGATTTCTCTTCAAAACAGAGAAATTCCAGTTCATTGAAACAAGAAGATTTCCTACAGTTGATGGAGCACAAGTATGTCTCAAGTCTTGCTCAACCAGGTGAACCAGTTGGTGTGTTAGCTTCTCAGTCTCTGGGAGAACCGGCAACACAGATGACGTAAGTTAATTAAATTTGATTGTTTTTTATCCTCATTTTCTGCACATATAGTAACAGCTTAAGATATCTTTTTGTTCAATCCATTTCATGCAATAACATGGGTATTAAAAATTGTGACACCAGTTTCTTATGGTCACTGGAAACCTTAGAGTTATAGCTGTAATAAATAATCACAAAGCTTGAAGAGGGAATGTTATCTTGAGTTCTAATCGAATAGAAACAGACACACTTCACAAAAAGCTTGAACAAATAATTTATGGGAAATAGAGGTCCTTGAACAAATGTCACGAGCTCATTAAAGCTTTAAATAGCTGCTCGTGACATTTGCATAAATTTTGTTTATTATCTAACTAGTGAGAAATACCCATGTTTATGTTTCTTCACTTAGTATAGACCGTGTTCAATTAGGTTTTATCACAAGAATATGTAACTAAGACTCTGTTTATGAGTTAGGAGTGGAGGAGAAGACAAGGCTTGGAGCAAGAATATTTGAATAGTAATAGAGAAATCTTTAATATTTATTAAACACACAATTTGAGCCAATTAACGATAAATGAATGTTTATCATTAATGTATTTTTAATTTTCAAATTATTCTAACAACATAGATTATAATTGAAGAATTTATCTAACCCTTCAAACCCCTCATCCAATACAATTTTTGAATTCCCCCTTATGGATAAAATTAAACTCTCAAAAACCCTCTCCACCTAAATCCCTCAATTCTTTCACGTCATTCTTCCATTTTTTTCAAAACCTCCCCCCCCCCCCCCCCCCCCCCCCCCTCCCTTTCCATCCAAACTCCCAAATAAAGCCTAAAAAAACAATTGTCTATTAAATTGGAGCATTACAATGCCCTCTCCTCCCACTCCAATCCCTGGTTGTCCCTGAACAAATGGTTCTATTTTATATCAACACTTCTTGTTGAGCATGCTATTGTTTTTTTGTCAATACTTGGAAGGAGCAAAAGGGTTTGTATATAAGACAGTATTATTGGGAATGCATATCTGTTTGTTTTCCTTTTTTGTTATTTTGTAAAATTTATCAGCGATCTGTGTGTGGCTGACGAATCGTTTTGGCTTCCTATTTTCCTTTTGTACTCAGTTTGAATACTTTCCATCTTGCTGGTCGAGGTGAAATGAATGTGACGCTTGGAATTCCTCGTTTGAATGAAATTGTGGTGGCAGCCTCGTATAACATCAAGACTCCCTTTATGTCATGCCCCCTGAGATCCAATAAATCTATGTGAGACACTGACATTTCTGTTCTCTTATGTCTGTTTTTGGGGTGTTTGTGCATGACTCATTCTGTGGACTTGTTTTTTCTACATAGAAGCACGAGTGTTTAATGAATTTGTTGTTTGCAGGGATAATGCTATCCGCCTTGCAGACAAAATGAAAAAGATAACTGTAGCTGACATAATTGAAAGTATGAAAGTTTCTGTTGTACCCGTTGCCGTAAAAGACGGTCACATTTGCAGTATATATAAGCTTATGATGAAACTGCATAAACCTAAACACTATCCAAAATACACTGATATTACGCTCGAAGACTGGGAGGAAAGTCTAAGAGTTGGCTTTGTGAGGGAGTTGGAGGATGCGATTCAAAGTCACATTGTATTGTGTCAAAAAATTAATGGCATAAGAGATTTCCAAGGCAAAAGTGGTGTAGAAAATGATCATAGCAATGATTCAGAATCTAACAAAAATGGTCAAACTGACAATGACGACGATGGTAATGACACAGAGGAAGCTGATGATCTTGATTATGATGCTCAAAAGAGTAAACAGCAAGCTATGGATGAGGTTGATTACGATGATGGTCCTGAGGAGGAAACATGTGAGATGTCAGAGGATGGAAAAAATGATGAGGATGGCAAAGATGACGAGGATGAGAAAGGTGATGGAGATGACAGTGATATTGAAGTAAATGGGGAGGACAGTGATACTGATTTAAGTGGCAATGATAAAAACGTGACACTTGATGCAAATAAATCTCAAGGACTTGAAGAAACTTCGAAATCTGAAATGAGTAAATCTGAACCGTCAAGCAAAAAATACGACAAGAGAGTTCATGTGAAATTTGGAGCGATGCGTTTTGAGATCCACTTTAAATTTACTACTGAACCTCACATATTATTGGCTCAGGTACTTACTACTGCAATTCATTTTCTGTTTAGCAGTTAACTTTTTAAGTTACCCAACTCCAAGAATTATATATAGGGTTGATTGTGGATTTGCATTTTCTACGTTTTTGTCCATTCCTAACTTTATAGGAATTCTTGCATCTTCAATTACCTTTTACTTTCAAACCCCAAGCACGGACAAACCTATGTGATAAACTATGGGTAACTCCAATATCAACCAATACCTATTGAATGAGTTGTTCTCATCTTCAACTTGTTCTGGATTGGGGTTCTGTATTTAAATGATCTGTCATTATGATCGATTGATGACAATGCATTTTACCATTTTGTGTTCCATATAATTGGTTCTTCGTAGTGGACAATGGATTAGTTGTTGTTGGGATAGGTAAGTTCAACATCCTTTCGGTTGTGGACAGGAAATAGTATCAAGTGATTTCTAATGAAATTATGTAATAAAATAAAACTAAGCAGTTATGTCAATTTACAGTTTTGCTTCTTGCTCAACATATAAACCATGGTTTTCTATTTATCTTTTTTGCAGATTGCTCAGAGAGCAGCTGAGAAGGTTTGTATCCAAAACTTTGGTAAGGTTGGTGAATGTAAAGCTATTACATGTAAAGAAAATGGCGTAATCTACTATGGTGAGGTTGATGGTAAAAGGGATGATATTCTGTCATCAGTGAAAGAAAAAATACCAGCGCTTCAAGCATCTGGTATACATTTTAAAACTTTTTGGGAGATGGAAGAAGACCTTAATCTTAGGTATGTTTATTCAAATGACGTGCATGCTATACTAAGGACCTATGGGGTGGAAGCAGCCAAAGAAATCATCATCAGGGAAGTGCAAAATGTTTTCAAATCGTATGGGATATCCGTAAATATCCGACACTTGATCCTTATTGCCGATTATATGACACATGCTGGTGGGTATCGACCTCTGGACCAGAAAGGGGATAGAAGATTCTACATCTCCTTTGGTCAAAATGTCTTTTGAGACTGCATCTAACTTCATTGTTGAAGCAGCTCTTCATGGGCAGGTGGACACCTTGGAGACTCCTTCTTCTAGAATTTGTCTTGGTTTGCCCGTAAAGATGGGAACTGGGTGCCATGACTTGATACAGAAGCTTGAAATATGATAAAGCAGTAATGTTCCTCGGCTCTAGATCTTTAGCCATCAACAATTTTTGATTCCATAATTTACAAATGTTGTTAAATTATTGTTTGAAATAGGGATGTTTAAAAATATGATTACCTGAATTGTATACTTGAACTGAAATTTATTGTACTATAAAAAAAATTAAACCACTTAAATGGTTAATGAACTCAATCATTTATTTTAAACAATTTAAATTCAGTTTTAAATTGGTTCAAAACCAGTTTTCTTTTATAAATTGGTTTAGTTACAATATTTAATAAAAAATCAATTGAGAATATAAAAAAACTGAATATTTTATTTATCAGAAAAAAAGATTTCGAAAAGAAAAACTGAATTGTTTTTTTTTTCAGAAATAAAAAGTTAACGAAAATTTTAAAAAAAACTGAACTTTTTTTCCAAGAAAAAAGATTTATGAAAATAAAATAAAAACTGAAATATTTTATTTCTATAAAAAGTCATTTGGGTAAAAAAAGAATTTTTTTTTGTTTAACATTTTTTTCCAAAAAAAAAGTTTACAAAATCAAAACAGAAACTGAATCTTTTTACCAGAAATTTAAAAAAAACTGATTTTTTTTTCTCTGGAAATTTGAAAAAACAGGAAAGAAATGTCAATTTTTTTCTTCTAAATAATATAATTTCCAAAAATAATTTTTTTGTGAAACGGTTTCTAAAATTTTTTTTCTTCCAGAAAAATAAGGTTTCCAACATTTTTTTTGTATAAAAAAAATCTGAAAATAAAAATGTATAATTAGTTTCATAAAAATTTGTTTTTTCATATAATTTTTTTATAAAACTAAATTGGTTTTAAAAGAATTAAAAATATAAAATTGATTTAAAATCAAACACTCAGTATAAACTAGTTTATAAATATAAATTAATTTTAAATTAGTTTTGAATTGAATTTAAATCACTTTAACAATTAATTGAATTGTTATTGATCTGGTTATTGAAATTTGAATTGAATCATAAATAAGATTTAGTTCAATGCATTCAATAAGATTTAGTTCAATGCATTTCATGAATCATGAACACTCTTAGTTTTGAAATATCATTTCTCAACTTCACTTAGATTATTACAATATTTAATATAATGTTTATTTTAATTTTTTTTAAATCTTTTGTGTGTGCGTATTTTAAAAGGTTAATGGATTTTTTGGTCCCTCTAAATATTTTAAATTTTATTTTTAGTCCCTCTAATATTTTTTTAGAGAAATCGTCCCTTCAAAATTTTCTGTCTGAATAATTAATACTTAATGTCAAATATCACTCACGACTCCTTATGTGGCAAGATAGGTGAATTAAATAATTAATTCATTATATTTTCATGAAATCAGTTGACCTAATTTCTTTTCTCTTTGTTCATCTTCTTCCTCGTGAAATTCTTCAAGCTCCTTGGTTTATTTGTTCATCTTCTTCCTTTGTTCATCTAGGTAGTTCATCTTCGTCCTCTTGCGTCTTAATAACATAATGTCTTTTGCTTCAGTAAAATAATGAGTTGGAAAGTTTTATGAGTGTCCGGTTCGGATGGTCTCGTATCAATGCAAGAATGAATCAAATAAAAGAAGGTTGTTTTGGAGATGTCCTTATTGGAGGAGTGTTGATACATGTAATATGTTCATATGGGATGAAGATCTTGCAGAAAAATCTGAAAATAAAGATGTAGCCATTACATACTCAGAGTTGGAAACCATGACATCTGTGGGATATATGAAGTCCTTGAATGAAGATTTAAGGAAGAAGAACAAGAACTTGAAGACCAAGTTGAAAACAGAGAAATTTCATGAAAGATTAAAGATGTTGTGTCTTGTTATGTCCATTATGATAAATATATATTTTGTTATGAAATGTAGTTGTTGAACAAGGTGTGATGTAGTGACTTTGCAATTTAGTTGTTGTACTTGATTAATGTTTCTAATTATTAATGTTTGAAACTTTATGGTTGATAAGGAAGACCAGGTCCACCTAGAGATACATTGCACAAGTTGTTTGACCTTAATACCACTTTAAAACCCATAACAACATGTTTTTGCCACTGACTGATTAAAAAAAATGCATATTTAAGTTCTATGGCATTCACCATGGTCCCATGGCGTTCATCATGGTGCTAAGTTCTTAAAAAAAAATAAGTTTTAGGTTCATGGCGTCCGTCATGAACTATCAGTGGTCAAAACTGCACGTTCCCACTCCCAATCTCATTATCTCTTTAATCTCTCTTAACTCCTCTTAACCTCTCCACCACCAACCTTCCAACTTCGCACCTTGTCACTCCACCCCCATTTAAACTACATCTTCACATCACTATTCTCCACACTCTCACCATTTACCTATCCAATTCTCAAAAATACCTATACCCCTCAAATTCACAAAAACTCCAAAATCTTTATTATGCCTCTAAGAGCAGTAAGAGTTCCTAGGGGAGAAATTGACACCATGAGAATTTAGTTCAGAACAGGTGGTTATGGTGAATCTCAAAGAATAAGATATGCAAAATTATTCACCCGCGAGGTTAACTTGATAATATGTTGACGGATCAGTTGTTCATATAACCTGGGTTTGGTAAATAGTTTCAATTTCATGAAAGAGAACTTAGGGCTGTCTCACTTTTGCACTCTTAGCAATCCCACATACTCAAAACTGACACTTGAATTTCTGAGTTTATACGAGTACACCACCCCCTGTTGAGCCATGGAACTGTAGGTCAGGTTAAATTCAGAATGTTCAATAGGGAATATCAAAGAATTTGGGGTGAGATTGCTGACATGTTTCATATCCCCATGGGGATGGCTTTGCATGTGAAGGACCCCTTGAAGGGCAATGGCAGTCGGAAGCCTTCCGGCTCTAGCACGATCATACTGGTGAGGTTACCTACAATTGGGAAGGGCTCAAGGCTACCGCAGTCCACAACCCGACCATTTGTTATTTACATCGTTTTCTAGCTAACATCATTTTTGGTCGGGTGAACAATGGGAATGTGAATTCTAAAGAGCTCTTCTTTATACAAAGTGCACTTACTCAGACACGAGTCAAACCGACTCTGTTCTTTCTCGCACATATATAGATTGTTTGCACTAGAAGCGGCGGTCCCATTTGCATATGAGGGATAATCACATCCATAGCCCCTGCATTGGACCTGAATGATGAATTGGCTCCACTGAAGCCCCTTGACACCCCCTCCTCGATTTGGATGTTTTCTGTAACATGCGTCTAATTACGAATAGGCCAGACGACAAGTACTTTATGATGGCACACAACCACAAAGTAAGAAGCATAATTTTGCCAAATCTAGTGTGCATCAATGTGAAAAACAGATAAAAATGGCTCAATGATCTGAATATCCCAGAACCGGGACAGTTAGCCCCTGAAAACATCCCTACTTAGGAAAATGAGGGCTGTCAGATTGATGATGATTTTAATCAGATGGAGCAGGATCATCCTGCTAGTATTCATAATGCACAACTGCATCTGGCTCTTCTAACTTTTCTGTAGGTACAACTTCCAGAAGCAACCCTTATGAAAAGTTGCTCCGAAAAATGAGAAGCAACCAAGCTGCCTTAATGTCGCAATTTCAAGAACAACAACAGTATAACCAACACAACTTTTCCCTGGTACATACAAGTCAGATAACTCTCATTGGAAATGTCCAAAGCCCTCAAGAGTCCAACGCTGCTTTAACAACTTAAATCTACCAGCTACTCATCTCCTAGAGTTCCCAAAGCAGTAGTAGAAGTCATACATAACGATATGACCGTAACCAAAGGGACCATGGAGATGATGATCATGGATGCCAACAATAGCACACAGGTTCTACCTTCATTTTCCACCTTTATCGAAACATTGGGGACACTATTCGGTTTAAGTATGGGGGAGGAAGCTTTATCGCTTTTATTTATCACTTTCTAGGTAGATTTATCGCTTTCTTAGCATTTCATGTTGTTAGAATTTTTAATTGATTTCAGTTTTTGTTTAGTATAACATGTGATATCGAGTCATTTATGCATATTTTTGAGTTGTTATTAACTTCCCTAAAATTTGAACCCTAACAATTCTTTTTTGTTTGATTCATGCCACCACACTCTAAGAGTATATAGGTTGTTTTGCACTATAGACTTTGTTAGAGAGACTCAGGAATGATTCGATAAAATCGGTACCGTCTTAACACCCTAAACCCCTTAAGTATGCAATAATCAATTTAAGTACCTATTATACCGAGATCTTGAGTTTGAGTCTTAAAGTAACCCCAAGTAGTTTATAATAGCATTCATCACCATCCTAAGTGTGCTCTACGTAGAAGAGTCAGTGAATATAAGTGAATGATCCTGTTTTTAGTAAATAAATGATTTAATTGAAAAATAACCTTCTAAGTTAGGTGACCCTCACCGATCATTTATCCCAATGGTGGTTAAACATGTAAGGATTTAATAATAAACACCTATTGTTGGTTCGTCCAGTGGTCACTGATACTGGACTTGGTAGGGCGGACTACGGTCCAATCCCTCGCAACCATAATTGGGAAAAATGGGGCTGCACTGCTTAATTATCAGAACCCTATGCAAATGAAAAGAAAAAGGATCATAGTCGCTAAATGATTCCCTTACTATGAGTATGTACAGATAAAGGGATTAATGTGATTGCACTATAATGGAAGTGGGTGAAAAGATACGAAAAACATAGGTTGAGTTATAATAGCATGATTCGAATTGGTTTGTATAAGGTGAGAGTTTTCGATCTCAAAATGCGGGCTTGTGTCATTACAATATCCTTGGTATTGATTTCAGTACCTATCTGTAATACAGTGGGAGAACTAACTTTACTGGTTTTGCATTTTATCATAAATGTTGCGGATAGCAAGAGTCGCCACCGACTTTTCTTTTATCCAATAAAGGAAAGGGTGAAAAGAACAGGAAAGACCTTTCGAGAACTTTTCTGAGTAAGGGGGGTAGGTTATGGAAAGGGAAGGTGTTAACACCCTTTCCATCTGTA